ACATATGTGTATATATGGGCTTGAAAAGGGTCACTAGTTCGACCTCTGGATAGTCAATAACGGCTACAGTCGGTGCATTCCTAATGACCTCTGTCTGTCTGGACACCGAAGGACATGTTCATTAAGTCCCATATGGGATCTCAAAATCACTCACAGCTTTTTCATTCAGCAGTGATCTCCGGGTAAAGAGAGTGCAGTGGTTATCATGTAGAAATAAAGATCCAGAAGATCACAGGCCCAGTCTTCTTATCCTCTACAGGGAACTTAAATATGGCGTATTTAAACTTTGGTGCACAATTTCTAATTATTTGCTGAATATAATTTACTGAGGAAAAAAGAAAATCGACAAAATGTCATTTGACCATGTGTGCCCAAACTTTTGCATAAAACTGTACACTGGTCATCCGAGTTCACGGTTGATCAGAGCTAGATAGCAGCTTCTACTTTTGAGCCTGGCCTAGCTCGAGTAACGTTCAAGCTCTCAGTTCCATAGCAAACCAAGGCAAAAGAATAATTAAGCCTTTAATGCAGAGGGCACATGTTAAAATGTCACTCTGTTTGAACTGGGTTACCGATGTTTCCCATATTAATCAATAATCGTGGTCTGAACGCTTCCTTGTGTAACTACCACACTGCATCTAACACCAATGGCTAAGACTGAGGCAGCACTGCAGAGTTGTAACACTACTATTATGGCTGCTTCGTTTGAACACATTTGATGCATTACTTTACTTTTCACATTAGCTCAAGGCAATAGTTTAATAAGTTAAGACCTTCATTTAAAATACAGAAGCTGGCATCCAGTAGTAGGTCAGCATGTGGAGATTAATGAAATCTCATCAGACTGTCCAGCAGGACGGTGATCTTGGTGAGTGAGTTATTGGGCTAACTTGTGTCAATATGGACCATTTCCTCCTCTCATCAAACTATCATTTTTTGTTGACAAAAATGGTTTATAGCTACATATACACACACACACACACACACACACACATACACACACACACACACACACACACACACACACACACGGGGAAATTTCACCTCTGCATTTGACCCATCCGTGCAGTGAAACACCACATACACACTCGTGAGCACACACACACTAGGGGGCAGTGAGCACACTTGCCCGGAGCAGTGGTCAGCCCTATCCGCAGCGCCCGGGGAGCAGTTGGGGGTTAGGTGCCTTGCTCAAGCGCACATCAGTCACGTACTGTCGGCTCAGGGGATCGAATCAGCGACCTTCCGGTCACAGGGCTGGTTCCCTAACCTCCAGTCCACGACTGTAATAAAAAATTACTTTACAAAACTGTTTGATTGCTGTATTTTATTAGCTGAAGTTCTGAAGTTGGGCTACTTGACGTTACTATGAATAACAACGTAATCACGACAAACTCAAAGGCAGCAACGTAGGTCTGAAAGAGTTAATAGTATTTAGGAGAAAAAAAAAAACAGAACGAAATTGGCCAGGCTGATGAATGTATAAAAAAGAGCATCCCAGCCTAAAACATGTTCCGGTTTGGGTTTCTGGTTTATGTGTCGTGAGTTGACAGAAACATGCTACAGACATGCCTCTAATCAACATTCTCAAAATGATACATAATAACTGATGTGTAAACCCAGAACGAGACGAGAGAAACCAAACATCTTCACAAATAAATGACAGGAAAAGTAAAGAAGGAACAGATATTTGAATGATATAGAAATCTCTATTATGCACCCTCACTCACAGTAGGCTGACTGAGCCTCTCCTATCCTCTTCAGAGAATCCAGAGGGATGGCTGAGTTGGCATGGTTACTGAGCTTTTTCATTTTTTCAGGCTTCCTAGACATATGGAATGGACAGTATGGAGAGGCTTTGGGCTCTCAGCTTTTTTGAACAAACACTGAGATGAGTTTTGGTAGAATATGACAACAAATACCACTTCACAGAGCAAAATGAAGACTTCGCTGACCTGTAATCATTACCCATATCCATGAGGAAACGGTCACACTGGACATTCTTCGATGGTGTAGGGCAAACATCAGGCATTACGGGTGGTGTGAAGCAATGTGATTTAGGATGAATTGCATAATACTTTTTGGAAATCTGTGATCTGAGCAACAAGCAACATTATGTAGATGTTTTTAAGTATAAAATACCTAAATATACACTGATCAGGCATAACATTATGATCCTATTATATCCTTGTTTCTACACTCATTGTCCATTTTATCAGCTCCACTTACTATATAGGTGCACTTTGTAGTTCTACAGTTACAGACTGTAGTCCATCTGTTTCTCTGCATACTTTGTTAGCCCCCTTTTACCCTGTTCTTCAGTGGTCAGGACCCCTATTGACCACCACAGAGCAGGTCTTATTTGGGTGGTGGATCATCTCAGCATTGCAGTAACACTGATGTGGTGGTGGTGTGTTAGTGTGTGTTGTGCTGGTACGCGTGGATCAGATGCAGCAGTGCTGCTGGAGGTTTTTAACACTGTGTCCACTCACTGTCCACTCTATTAGACACTCCTACCTTGTCAGTCCACCTTGTAGATGTAAAGTCAGAGACAGTAGCTCATCTGCTGCTGCACAGTTTGTGTTGGTCATCTTCTAGTCCTTCCATCCACTCAGACCAGCACAACACACCACCACCACATCAGTGTTACTGCAGTGCTGAGAATGATGCACCACCCAAATAGTACCTGCTCTGTGAGGGTCCATGGGGGTCCTGACCACTGAAGAACAGGGTAAAAGGGGGCTAACAAAGTATGCAGAGAAACAGATGGACTACAGTCTGTAACTGTAGAACTACAAAGTGCACCTATATAGTAAGTGGAGCTGATAAAATGGACAATGAGCACAGAAACAAGGAGGTGGTCATAATGTTATGCCTGATTGGTGTATATTTATGTTGTAAAAGAACCGTAATATGTGACAGTTTCGTGAGTAAGCATACTTTGGCTACTATGAAACACAAATTCAGGACAGAAATATACCTACATCTTGCAAAATGGTTCGCTCACCTAACCATATATATGATACGGCTCAATAATGCAAGGAAGCACATTGAGCTGTTCAATGTTTTTGCATTAGCTGCAGTCTGAAAAGATGTGGTAGTGCTTTATGTGTCTTGGAGGAAACACACACTAGCCTACACCGTCCCAGCTTGGTAGCATTTTGTGATTGGGGGGACCTGGTTAGCAGGTGAAACTGCCCACATTAAATGAAGGGCAGTGGGGGGAGGTTTAAAAAAAATTCCAAAAAAAGCACCAAGAGCCTCCCACCTCCTATACTCCTTCACTTTATCTCAAGGTCAAATTATAGGCCAAATCCAATTGGATGACTACATTTCCCATGGTGCAGTGGAACCAGCTGTTATGATCTGTAACACATCACCAGACGACTCAAGCCAAGACATCTGTCCGGTCTCAGGCGGATTGCGGTATGCTGAGTGTTAGATTCAGCATTGCTGGAGAGAATGCCAGGGGCTGCGCGGTGTGACGAGCCGAACACTCAGCTCAGATGACAGTGTGTGACATATGCATGCAATCACTGTGGACTAACAGGTTGGCTGGATGCCAAAACACGCGCACTCAAAAAATGCAAACACGCAAAGATTACAGCCCACATAAAAGTGCAAACACAAGCACAAACAGAGAAAACTCATTGCCCAGTTCCAGCACCACCTCTTCACAACACGTCCAAAGCTGTAATCTAAGACGAACAATTCAGTTGCAAAGCTTTTTTACGTTAATACGCCCAGGCCATGCTGAGGGTGGCAAAGCAGTAATCAGGACCAGACACACTGAAAGAGCGCTAAAGCTGAGAACCCCTTAATCTCTACACTTCATATTCTGCTATTAAAGAGCAGCTCTGTCAATGTGACTACATTTCTGCATGATCAAGTGGTTGAGATGTAAGCAAAGTCATTCAGAGATGCTCCGTTAAAGAAAGATTTACACTCAGAATTGTTCACAGTGGTGGTGCTAGAAACCAGACATCTGCAGTGTTTAATGTCTCTAAAATCTTATTCACAGAAAGCTATGAAATGAAATGGTTATTAATACATCGCCCGATGCCTGAAACATTGTTTTCTGATAGTTTTGTGTTGCATTCATTGATTTTCCTTATTTTACCATTCAACATTGCATATAAACACTTAGAAGATACGAGTAGGATTACTGGTAATTTCGGATAGTGTATAAAATACATATTGTAGCTGTCCAATGAAAAATCTCCAAACTAGTAACTTTACAGGAGAGGGCAAAAACACTCTTACCTTTTTAATGTAAGTCAACGTAAAGAGGTTTTATTCCAAGTGATTTTAAAGCATTTCTATTGGTTTATCATCGTGAAATTTTCACACAGCGTAAAGGACAGCTGGTGTGTTGAAATAATGTGGAACAATAAAAATCAACAAAAATGGAGATACATGGTTTCCTTTGGACAACGACGATGTATTTGTGTTGTGGACATGATAATCCTGGGCTCCTATCACCACCACTATATAGAAGTGTGAGTTGGTAAGATCATCTACAATGCACCACTTCACATTAAACCACTCTGAATGACTGTCTAAATCTCCTAATTAAATTATGCAAAAATTCCAATAAATCGGTGAAATTCCCCTTTAATCTTAAGGCTTATTATCCAGTAATTACTGTGCTTTCTATTCAGTTATCATTTAGTTTGTCGGTTATTCTGGACTCATTCGGTTATTAATCTAAAGGCTTATTATCCAGTAACATTTATGGATATTATTTTATTGTTATTCAGTTATTCTAGGCTCATAATTTTCATATTAATATGAGGTTTTATTATCCTGAAACTGCCAGGCTCATTACTCAGCTATTTTTCAGTTATTCTAAGCTTATGATTCAGCTATTAATCTTAAAACTATGATGCAGGTCACGTAGTTCAGAGTGGAACTGAAAGGAAGTTTAAACGGATTAAAAGTGGAGGACGATTGTAAGCTCGCAGCCCCTCGTTGGGCAGTGCATGTGTGTGTTTTCTGACCTGTGCTTTGGCCAGTCTTTTCTCCAGCGCGTCCCGTTCTCTCTCTGTCTGCAGTAGCCGCTTGTTGAGCTCGACCACGTCACCCTTCAGAGAAGCCACAGCGGCCAGATGCAGCTTGAGAAAGAGAGAAAGAAAAGGAGAGAGACAGTGTGGGTCAAAATACACATATTTCCTTTAAACATTAAAAACAATAACACAGAGATAAACTGAACGTGTGTCAGTGTTTTGTATACTGTCATTTTCAAAGTGCACAGTAACGATACTGTGGACATTTTGAAACAGGGTCAATGCATTTTTGTTTAACAAGTGGCAATTTCTCCAGAGCAGCTCTGCTTTCAAAAGTTCCCACTACACTGTCATGTTCTGATCCCAAATAGTATTTGAGTGGAGAAGGATAAAACTAAAAAACAGCCAAAAATGAAGTACTTCAGGCGAGATTCACGTAGGGCTGGAGTTGGACGTCTACTCTTTTAGCTCTGGTGTTAAGTGATTTTTAAAAATCAGCAGCGCAAAAATTCAGCTACAAGCAAAGGAATGCGTTCGAAAACTTTAAAATTCATTTTTCAAAAAAGCGGAGGGAGTTTACAATAGTAAGAATACAGAAGATATGGTTTATAAATATACATACGGTGGCTCACTTGGTCCAGCCTCGGTCTTCCTTTTTGAAAGACCTTGTTTGTAACTATTTATCCAATATGGATGAATTTCATACACACAGAAAGAGAAACGCTTTACTTTGACTTGCACTGAAAATGTAAACATAGCCAAGTTAGCATTTTGCCAGACAAATAAATGAGGTCGACAGAGATATGATGTTCTATTTATCATGTTTAAAATAACATCTGGTTAAATGTCTACATACTGTTAAAAAACTGGGTTTAAAAAAAAACAACAAAAAAAAAAACACCCACAGCCCCCTAGCAGTACCACTTTGACCTACAGGCTGAAAACCACTGGCCTACATGAAAGCAATTCATGAGATGGTTCATATGAGTGGTTGGTTCTATTTAGAACTAGTCCAGAATTTCTATTTAGAATGAATTATTTACATATGGCAATTATGAAGTGATAGTTTTCATTTTACGTTGGCTATTCATTAATTTGCGAGATTTTGAAAGACAGTAAATTAAATGACAGTAAATTACACCTAAATGTTGTCCTGCCCGCAGTGTGCTGGTCAACTGCCATGTGACACTGAAAATTTGCCTCCCAACATACTGTGGTGGGTCCCAATGCAGTGCTCTACATGCTGGGTCATAGGAGGGTCATATGCAGCCAATAAAAGAGCAGTAAGCATGTCTGGTAGCTCCTGTCGCTCCCTGAGCGGTTAGTTTTATTGAAGAGTGTCACCCAGGTTCCCAACCAGCAAGCACTGTGCATACTGTGAGTGGTGCGAAAGCAGCTTGCCGCCAATACGAGCGGAGAACATACTACGTTCAGCATCAAAGCAGCTTTAGTCTGTATAGTTTCTCTGTCTTCCTTCTTCCTGAAATGGATTAAATGCCCAAACATTGATTTCAGTATTCAAACACCAGCACCTCGAATAGGTAACAGATTATGAGTATCAGTGCACAACGCTTTACTGGTGCACCTCCACATTTCTCCGTAAAGGTCACTGTGCTCTAACTACATATGCCCGTATACTAATTATACCCACACTGAGCAGCATTATGTGTACAGATCTTTATTTTTAATGATAATTAGTGATGTCCTGACCTGATCCAGGCATGTTTTAATAGCTCAAGTATCAGCTATATAAGCCCAGCCCTCTTCAGACCCTTTGTTTCTTTTCTTGCGCTCCATTTAGGCCACCATCATAGAGGTGCTACAAACTGATACTATCCACAAGCTGCAGCAGCGAGGCACGTTTTGAGAAGCTAATAAGTCTGCCAATGGAAATGCTGTTAAACTGGAACAATCAAAACCATAATACGTGTTTTTCTCCGATTTCCCCACAACGTCGGGACACTTTTTGTCCTGAAAATGTATGAAAACAAACACACAAAAGCACCAACAGTGCTGTGGTAAGTGCAGCAGTGCTTCAGCACGTGGCACACGCAGGCTCTTCACTCCGGTGGGCCGCTGAGATTTCACACATGAGCTCCCATACAGCTGTCTGACTGCTGCACACACACACCAACACGCGCACACACACTCGCTGTCATACATATTCTCTCCAGCAATTAATCACTATTTCTGCTCGCTGCTGATTAAAACTAAATCCAACTGTCAGTTTCGCTTCCAAAAGCTCACCTGATGAAGACGCTGTAGTGTTGAAACGCTCGTCTCTGCTATGAGGTGTGTGTGTGTGGGCTGAGAAAGAGCTAAACACACACCCTGGAGCTTTAGCACAAACAGCCAAGCAGCACTGGCACCAACAGCCACACATACAAAAACCCCTCTTTGAGAAAACACTACTTTCCCACACTGCTGGTGTCTGGCGCGTCCCACCACTGGTTCAGAGTGGAAGTAAAGTAGAGGCTGAAATAGCAAAACGGCTACTAAGCTAAAGGTGACCAGCGTAGCTCCACCCTGGAGCTGAGACGGAGTGAAAATGTTACAAAAACATGAAGCTTTTCTTAGAAGACAAGCTTACTTACTACATTCAGTGTCCATACAGGCCTCAGCACCTCTATCAGTGGCTACAGCAACGTCTTCGGTCATCAAAGCAATGGTTTGTCCAAATTCAGAATCTTGCAGTTCTTGGTTTTCCAGATGAACTCAAGGCAAAACACGAAACTGTGCTCCCTACAAACAACGTGGGGCTCTAGCCAGGTCTTAGAGACAAGAGCCCAGAGGTCAAAACAAACCTCTCAGCTCTGATGCTACTTTCATGTGGTCTCAGCTGAGTTTCTCTCAGGAAGCACCACATGAACAGCTTTAAGGCAACACGGCAACACAGCAGTGTATAGTAGACAGTACGAAACCACATAGACTGTGCTGCAGTGAGAGAGCCAATAAACATCAAGCTCCCTCTTTTTAAGCTAAAACATATGAGGTGGGAAAAGACAAGACTAATAATGAAAACAGACACTTAGCATCCATCCGTCTGTCTTTAATTTAGACTGACCGCCTTTCTCAGTGTAAATTTCTAGCCACGTCACCGACTATTAATTTTTGTGGTCTGCTCTGGGTGTTCAGTAATAGCAAAATGCTAAGTGGCGCACTGTGACACTGAGAGAAACAAAGCTGCCTTGAAAACACACCCTAACACTGCATTAAAGCATTAAAAACAATGTTTTCTCATTTTTGGACATTGTGCAACGCAGGCCGTCCAGCACGTGGTAGCCTTTAGAATTCAGACGATGAAGTCGGGCTCAGAGATTTTCAATGCAACAAGAATTGGTCGAGTTGTGACCAACGCCATTTCAACATGGTCAAAGACAGAAGCGAACAGTCCATTAACGGCTAACAACGTTCAAATATAATAAGAGTAATGGTCAAGTTTAAACGTGCAATTAACCCACATTTTATTTCTGCCACGTTTGTGTTCAGTAAAACAGGTCAGAACTGATTAGCTGACTAGTAATAAACTACATCAACCATTTCATTTACTGTTTTATTTACTTCCCAAATGAACGTGCAAGTCGGGCGAGAATTCCTCTTCAGAGAAAACTACTGCCCTAACTGTACTTCAGTGCAGCATGTATAATGAGTCTGTGAGTAGAGGTCGAAAGTCAAAGTCACAGTTACCTCAAATGTAGTTGATCAGCCAAGACATGTTTGCTGCCGTTTGCTTCTTTAGTTCAGCCCTGGAGCTTGGATGCTATTGAGCTAACACATAACAGGACCTTATAGGCACTGTGCCAACTGTACAGCTATATCATCACAACCTTGCCTAAAATTCTAAGCCTTAATGGACTTGCTTTGTGGTTTCTGACACTGTATTACATAAGAATGAACACAAAATGGACTAAATGCCAGCTTCAACACTTTTCATACAACTTTGTCACTCTAACAACTTTAAGGATGGGTGGAGTGAGGACGCCGGGAGCAGGTGTGGAGACGGAGAGCGACGTTTTATTTATACACAACACAAAACCACTCGGCTTTTCAGCCCACAGAAAAGTTAAGACAAGACGCTCGCTGGGACTTTTCAGTCTCTTCCCTTCTTTTCTTTTGCTTTCTTTTCTTAGCTCAGCTCAGCTCAGCTCTGCTCCGTCTCTACCAGTCTCCTTCTCTCTGGGCTCTGCCACCTACTGCGGAAAGAGATGGCTATAAGTAGGCTGGCAGAAACAAGGTGAATATCATCAGCTACTTAGCCCGCTGGTTCAGCCCGACCAGCTCTTCATCCTGCATTGGACGCTCGGCCACGCCCCCTTCTCCACAGTCACGCTCAATGCAGTTTAATTGACATGTCCATATAAGCTTCCATTCCATTTTAACACAATTAGCTGCACAACAGTGATATAACTAACTTAACACTGACACCGTAATTACCGGAGTAACAGCAATAGGGACATTAATTTATCAGTTACTTTAAGTGCTATGATGGAAATTAAGGCAAACAAACAAAGATTAACTGTTTTATGCCACAATAAATAGAATCCAGGGCTTCATACTTCAAAAAGCATTAGAGAGTCGGACTCAGTGGACATTTTTAACTTAAAACATTCCTTTTAATCAAGCTGACATTTGACAAAATGCTTCTTTGCTCATTTATTTATTTGATCTATTCTTTTAATTTATTCTTCTCATTTTAACCATTGTTATATTTTTATTTGAACTATTTTTGTTTTAAAAATTCACTCCTTGTTTAAACGGCTTTGTTCTTTTAATAATATGACCCTCACTGTTTTGTGCATTTTGTGCCCCTTTTCTATTACTAATTTTATTTGATGGATTTTTTTATTAATTGATCTATTCTTGATTACCTTTTTACTTGTCCTTCTTGCTTGTTTACTTGTCCTTCTTGCTTGTTTACTTGTCCTTCTCTCTTGTTTAATTATCTTTCTCTGTTTCTTTTACTGTAAAGCACTTTAAGCTACATTTTATGTATGAAAGGTGCTATATAAATAAAGATTATTATTATTATTATTATTATTCATTCCCCTTCCCTTGGTTGGTTTACCCTGAGGTAAATCTAGCCATCACAGGGCCATTAGACCATAGAA